GAGCCCGGCCGCTGCGTCTCCCTGAGTGGGAAGAGAGTTCGCGCCGACGGGAAACTCCCCAGCGCGCTGCTCAAAATACACTTCCCGGAATCCCTTGCGCGAAACCAGGCTAGTTAAAGGGGCGGCCGTTGATTGTGGCTCCTGGGAAACGCCGGTTTTGGTGGCCCCTCGGCTGCCTGAGCTGTGCCTTGTGCCATAAGCCACGGTGGGGTGTCTTCAGGCCAGGCAGCCACGGGCCCTGGATACAAACCCCAAGGGCTGCATTTGCACAGAGGACTAAGCCTCAGGTAGAAAGTATTCGTGAATGGCAAAGGTGCCTCGGCAATAATACCACTCAGGGTTGCTCAGCCTTGGCAGCTCTAAGGTCTGGATTCAGCTCCCAGAATTCCCATGCTGGCTGGGGAATTGTGGGAGTTGCAGTCCACACATCTTAAAGTTGCCAAGGTTGCAAAACGCTGGTATAAGTTAACAGGCACTATACTTTGGCCTTGTACTTGGAAAGATGGAGGGGGGGAAATGTGCCACTTGGCATGTCGGAATACAACATGAACGCAAAGAACGGCGGTTGTCTAGAGCAAGATTTCCGAGGCCTTGGGGCCAAGATGGAAAGACCCTGTCTTCGATATTCCTTTGTAACATGGGCAGATGCAGCCATTGTGGTAATGTGGTAAGACACTGCTTACAGCCAGACTGGTGTGATTTGCTCCCCAAGGTGGTCTTGCTATTACGTAGTGCATTCAGGGAAAAAGAGGGGACAAGGTTTAAACAACAGTAGGCCTGCCCTAGAGCACATTCCAGACCTGAGCCCTATAGCCGCTGCTTCTCCAGAGTAAAAGTAAACCCATTAAAGAGGTTGTTTAGGTCTATGATTAACAGAAAATACAGTTTGGCACAGCAACTTGCTGCTGCTGCTGCTGCGAATTGGAGTTAAGCTCTGAAAGTTCATGCTAACCAATTTAGTCATAGGACTATTTTTGTAGATGAAAGTTCTTTTTTATGGAAGAGGTGAAGCTACCTAAATGTCTAACTAGTCAAGCTGAAGTAGACTATTTCTTGTCAAAGATGCATAAAACTGAACTATAAATATATCTTGAACATAAAAATATTTATATTGGAAATATAAAGGCTGCAATAGCTCAAGTGTATATTTGGTTTGGTTTGTTAACAATATTCACGCATGCCACAAATGGTACAAGATAGGCTTGAAGTCATTAGGGTGTCAATATTGTGCATTATTTCCTGGGATAAAAACCCAGAGTTTAGAGGATATTCAAAAGTAGCTCTCCTTGTTTGTTTCCCCACTGTTCTTGCCTTCCAGCCTGCTTTCTACTGGCAAGATAGCTGCTGTCTGTATTTTGTAATGGTTTATAATGCAGCAGATCACACCATATTACCTAATTTTCTGTTTTATACAGGTTTAGCTTTGAACAGAAGCTAACATCCTAATTTTGTAGAATATAGGTGACCTGTACAGTGAGGGCCCAGACCATTTGTGCCCTAATTTTCCTAGCTTTTAGAAGAGACAATTGCAAATTTTTATCTATTTCCACTATTTTTTACAACTTTTTTCTCTTTCCATTCCTACATTTACATTAACTTCATTGTTTTCTGATTTCAAATATAGTTTCCACTTAATGTTTGTTTTATTCTTAAATATCTTAAACTTTTGAAAATTTAGCTGAATTGTGAGATTATAAATTGCCTCCCAAAAAATAACTTTTTTAAAAGAGCTATAAGAGAACAAACTTGAGTTTTTTACTTAGTAATTGAAATAACGCTTATGCAAGACAAACAGGTTAAGGAACTTGATATTAGAATCAAAGTAAATAAAGTCCAATTAATTTTTATGTACAAAGTAATATATAAAACAAATGATGCTAATTGGTCCAGATCTTCTAGATTCGCCCCCCTTTTCAGGTTATTGTCTGATTAGATTGGTGCTGCAATCAACTTATAAAGCGAAGAACCTTAACAGAGTGATTGAAACAATGCCAACATGTGTTAGATTACTCCTTAGGGATTGTCTTGTACTTTAGAACAATAGAGACAATTCCATCATGTTCAATTTTATTTTATACTATGAGCCATATAGCTAATATAGTATTCTGAACTGCATAGGAAGTGAAGAAATGACTCCACAACTTGCATACATGATCAGAATTGCCATTCCTCCATCTGAGTATACATATATTGAATAAAGACAGTTTGAATTTGACTTCAGAAAAAACTATAGATAGTCCTCACTTAACAACCTGTTCAGTGACCATTAGAAGTTATGACAGCACTGGACAAATGGTACTTATGTCCGGTCCTCAAAGTTACAGCTGTTGTAGCAGCCCCACGGTCACGTGATCAAAATTTAGGTGCTTGGCAGACTGCCCGCATTTATGACTGCAGGGTGTGGTTCAACCCTATTTCCCCCATCTTTGCCCTTTTGGATGCCCTGCACTGCGCTGCCTCTGCTGCCCACTCTGCCCCACACCTCTGTACTCTGCCACTCCTGCCATGCCCAGTTGACCTTCATCGTCTTCTTCCGCTGCTAACAAGGCATGCCCAGCCTGGTCCTTTGCGAGGCAGCTGCTGACTGCATGCAATGAGGCTTTGTGAGGCTAGCAACTGCCTCGCAAAGGACCAGGTTGGGCACAACTCATCAGCAGCTGAAGAAAACAGCATGAGTCAGCTGGGGGTGGCAGGGGTGGTGGAGTGCAGGGCAGCCAAAAGGGCAGAGATGTGGGGGATGGAGGCAGGTGGGGGAGTTGAAGTGGAGGCGAGCATAGGAGGGCAGAAGCATGAGGTCCTTGCCTAACGACGGCACATTGCTGGCCTAATGATTGCAAACGGAACTACTGAAAGTGCTGTTAGTAAATGGTGCAGTCATGTGATGTTTCACCTAACAACCACATCCCTTCGTGACGGAAATTCCAATCCCAGTTAGGGTTGTTAAGCGAGGACTACTTGTACTTCAATTTCTTCCTCTCTGCCCGTTTCCTATTCCAGCTCTTCTACTTTTAAATGTGCACAGCAGCCAAAAACAATGAGCAAAAGATTCAGCTTTCCTGGGATGAATGAGCATGGAGCTATGATTGTAAGAAAAGATTTTCATCACTGAATTTATTTATTAAATTTATCCCCGCCCATCTCCCCCCAAT